AAAAGCAATCTGATAAACCTGGTATCCAAATCTGATAAATATGCAAATTAGATCAATACACGAACTACTTTCGCAAAACTCATGACGATGACGTCGCCGCGAGTTTACAGGGTGTGTGTGTGTTGCTTCTTTTCAGAGTAATTTAAATGCATTCTTTGAGATTCCATTGCCTTCTCTCATTCAGGACTTCACCCTCTTGTCGGGAAGAAGAACTGAGGAAGAAGATATGTGGCATACTGCCAATAGATCTCCTGCTGGAAGAACCACTGGCGCCTTGTTACTTTCCAAGGTTCGACATGGTAACAACATCATTTTGTCTCGATGCCATGCCGTTGCCCTGGACCACGTCGACTACGGTCTTGCAGCCCAGAAGATAACAAATATGTTGAAGATAGGAGGTCATCTTGTTGTATGCGGACTTCATGAGAGTAATGATTACAAAGTCGGCGAGCGCGTGTTCAGGAGCTGTCATGTCTCTGTTGAACAGGTGAAAGACACATGGACACGCTGCGGGTTTGATATTGTAGACTGGAGGGAACAGGAATCGGACAAGACCAGATGCAACACCGTGTCTGCCTTTGATGGCGTCTTTGTCATGATAGCTAAGAGGGTGCGTTAAGGATACTTACTGTTCTTTGTTAGTGGTTTGTTTTTCAACAAGGTTCTCAGAAACTGAAATTGGCCTGTACATATACGACTCTGGACCAGACAAGCCAATGACAGATATTATAATATTCAGTGCTCGATTAATGTCATTCGTGACAAACTTGAGACATTCCGGAAAGTGGGCGAGTGATGATGATGGATTTCCTGATCGAGTTATGATTTTTTCTGTCTTTCTTGTTTCACTATTTTTTGTATCCGGATACAATTTTCAAAATATGTTTGTTACGCCAGTCAGTTTAAATCCCCAAAAAAAATTTTTCGATGCAAAATCCAAAACAACAGTTCAATAATAGAAACACCATCATCACGCAGCTGGTGTAGACTGTAACATTTCGTTAAAGGAGAATTTATTTTATATTACAAACATCTAAAGCATATAACAACTAAACCTTTTGGTCCACTAGTCAAGAATTCCACAGAGGTTTTAGTAACCATTTACATATATATTAGATTATATCCAACTTTGGAATTTGAAAGTTCGCGCCGTGCTGCTTTTCCCAGAAAGCCAGCATCTACAGAACTGTCAAACCTCAATGATGGTGAGGTAGTAGTTTATTCTGTTCAATAAATGTACATCAATGAAAGGTTTGGGCAGGTATTCCACAGTCATAAGAAGTTTATATTTTATCCAATAATAGTAGCGGACAGTCTAGGAATGTGCAGTTTTGGATGAGTGTCCGTTTTTCCCAGAGTAAATGTTGTCTTTGTTTGTATTGGACGTCCATGATACGTCGCCGTTAGCTCGTAATCGCCATGGAAACCGCGCACCTCTATCTGTCTGTGGGCATGGGAAATCTTCGTCGTCATATTTGTCATCCATTCTTTCTCCAGAAGGTCAAAGAACCTCTGTCCAGCTGCATTAACCTAGAACAGGACACATGTATGTAGATTTGAAAATGACTGCATAATCGTTATATACTTTAATGTTCAACTACGTAATTAACAGCATCCGAGCCTAATGACGGCGACCTGATGGGTGCAAGACAGACAATCCAGTGAATGATTGATAGACTGGATTACTTACACGCCAACGCTATAGAGTCGGCTTAATGGTGACAATGAAACAGACAATCATGTCATGTAGTCAACTTGCTTGTGAATAACCAGCAACAAACTAACTAGATTGGGTGTAGGGGGTGGGGGTGGGGTGGGGGTTGGGGGTGTTGGTGGTGGTCAGACTGCTTGTTATCGTATCTCGATGGCGTAGGACGTAGTTCCTAACACCGGTCACTATCATAGGCCATGTAGCTAAAGTATTGCTGTAAGCGGTCTTCATGAACAAACTAACTACTCTTACACCGAGGACACATTGAGCGTACATTACGCTCACACACTATAATTACCTGGAAGTTAGGTCCGCTGACCAACGAGGCAGGTTCCCCACGCCACTGCTGCTCGGACCAGAACCCCCACAGCATGATGCCGTCCACAGCCGGGTGATCGAACAATGACCTCAGAGCAGTCTCGTACCAATCAGCTCGCTTGTTCACATCCGGGGAATACAAGTCCAGCTCGGTCACCCACAGCGGGAGGCCAACTTGTGCAAGCAGGTCCAGACGTTTCTGATACAGTGTGTTTAAGTAACGTACACTGGTTTAACGAAGATTTGAATAATTCCACTTATTTCACATCGTGTCGGTTGAGTGTAGGAGGGACGTCAGAGCTGGTATAGGTGTAAGACGGTACAAATACTGATAACGAGCATTCGGATTAACTTTCTTTCTTAAATGTCGTCCTCGGTGAAGTGTAAAGTCATCATGTTTCAGTGAGTGAGTGGGTTTAGTTTTACGCCGCACTCAGCAATATTCCAGCTATATGGCTGCGGTCTGTCCAGACAATCCAGTCTGGATCAGACAATCCAGTGATCAACAACATGAGCATCGAATTGCGCAATTGGGAACCGATGATATGTGTCAACCAAGTCAGCGAGCCTGACCATCCGATCCCGTTAGTCGCCTCTTACGACAAGCAGGGGCTACTGAAGATCAATTCTAACGGGTATTACATTCAGAGGCATGAATCCAGGGGATTCCAGGTATGATTGGCCCCCAGCGGCACATGCAGGTCATCAGCGGCGACTGACTGGACAGGATCATCAGGTGACTTGGTGACTTGGTTGATTGCTCGTCACCATATCCAACGACTTTGATAGCGGTTCACAGAAATGTCTATTCCAGATACAATTAAGACACTCGTGCAGTTGGAATATACACACGAACAAACAAACAAACCTTGAGAAGGTAAGGGTCTGGTGCGGTGAGGTCCCTGAAGTGTGTCTGGACACCCATACCATGTACAGGGACCCTGGCTTGTTTGAACCGCATCGCCATATCACGGTATGCCTGGATACGAAGGAGACCTCAGTAGGTGAGTGAGTGAGCTGGTTTCTAATGCCGTTTTAAACGGTCTCACCGAATCAATCTTCAAGAAGAGTTGTTAGAAAGGGGTCTTACACAACAGTGGTTCCATTAACGACTGACTAAAGGAAGTATCCCAACATTCCACCCAGTGGAGTAAATCACAATGGTTACCATGGTATCTCCGCCGCGAGCTGTGACTGTGTTTTCGTTGAAGAACAGCTTCATGCTGGGGTCCACCTGGTGGGCGATCCTGAACACCTCCAGGTTGTAGTCCCTGTCCTGGAGAGTCTCCCGGAACCACTGGGTATGGAGGATCTCGTTGTTCACGTCCCAGTGCTCAACTCTACAAATAGAGACTCTGTCACATGGAGGTGCCACTCTACACATGAACGTTATCGTGGTCTTCATTAATGAGATACATCTGAGAAAATCAATATTTATGGATGTCAACTTCTTTATTGTGAATAACTGACTGACTGACTGACTGAGTTTAGTTTTACGCCGCTTTTAGCAATATTCCAGCAATATCACGGCGGGGGACACCAGAAATGGGCTTAAGACATTGTGCCCATATTGTGAATAACACTACGTTTTGGAGTGTATGCTTGCTCTTTCATCTCCTGAAGCAAGCATACACTCCGAAACGTCGTGTTATTCACAATAAAGAAGTTGACATCCATATATTTTGCTTTTCTAATGCATTCCACTTCTAATTGCCCTTCAAAGATAAGATATATCTGTTAAGGAAGAACAACTGTGAAGAACCGAGAGACTATTGTAACTCAGTCACACACTGCTATCGTGTTCCGCTACGGTATTGATATCACATATTGATACAGTTAGACCAAATTTGACCCTGATGTGTTGTGAAGCAGATTTCTTTACAGGATGAGTGTTGGCTGTACGTGGCAATATTCGTTGAATGTAGCTTTCGTTACAAAAGTTGACCTCCTCTTGTTCAGGTTCTTGTTCAGGTTTGCAAGTGGTTGCTCTTTCTTGTATAGTTACAGTCCTTTTGTTTTATTGAGCGCCTCTGATATTCTGTGTGTGACTGCTTTTCGGAGTGTGTTGCCTCTCAAAGGTCGAACCCATGGCGGCACCTTGTCCACCTTGGACCACAGAAGGTAGTGTACATTAGCCCGGTGTCTGCAAGTTGCCAACATAGGTGTGCGTTGTACTAATAAATTCACAATCACATAAGTGTATGATCATTCTTTCTTTTCGTAAGAAAGGATGAGCTTATTGTTTCTAATTTGTTCAGGGTATATTAATAGTTACCCATTTGAGCGTAGTTTGTTGAGCGCCTCTACAGCAGTGTCATAATGGGCAGCTCCCTGGAACAGACAATATGAGGCAACTTCACACGTGAATAGCAAATATAAACCTGAAGGGTGCTTTTCACTATATATTAGACATGGCTTCTTTTCCCGGAATAACCGCACTTGAAGTTTTTGTTTGCTCTCAGGTTTTACTTTTGTGAGTAAGACCTATTTCCCGGTTTTACTTTTGTAAGTAAGACCTCTTCTCAGGTTTTACTTTTCCCTAATTCTATATTAACATCAACATTCAAATTATATATGAGTGTTTTGAAATCAATTGAAAAATATCGTGGAAGATCAATTGAAATAAGCAAATGTTTTCCCTAGCAGGATTGGAACCATACATTTCAGATTCATACTTACTCACAGCCACGAGCCCGACAAAGATCGAGGGTTGAATTATCTATTTATAGATAGGCCTACTGTCATTTAGTTGATTTTACTAGCGCTTCAGTTACTGTTATGTAGCTTCATTACATGATCATCTAATTATCCATTACTAGGGGTGTCGCGATACGCGAATGTATCGATGCATCGATACATTTTTGCTGACGATACGATACGCGATACATGCTTGCGTGTATCGATTCCTATTTTAAAACTTTATCGATTCAATTTTTTATGCTATATCCATCTCCGTCAAAGTCTTGATAGTAAAATTACACAAGACCGCTCCGATAAATAGATGTAGCTAGCTTTACTTAAAAAATAGGTTGGAAACTAACAGCTTTTGTGATTGGCTAGACTATTTTGATGGACCGTACGTTGCCGGTGCGTACGTTGCCGGTAAGGTAATGCTATGAAAAGGCGCGAAAATTATGTATCGCGATACGTATCGTATCGTGACCTTAAAATCGTGATACGTATCGTATCGTGAGATTGGTGTATCGTGACACCCCTATCCATTACTGACGGTTTATATGTATAATAAAGCACTCCTCCTCGGTTATGGTTGGGAAAGTAAGCCCTCGACCATCGGGTGGACCATCCGGTCTCGGGTCTTACTTTCCCAACTATAACCTCGGAGTCGTGCTTTATCCTACACAAAGAGCAGGAACAAGATGCAAATCCTGAAACGAATTGCGTTAAATGATACAGCTGCATGTGGAAAACATCCCAGTCTACAACAGTAGAGCCTACACAAGCAGGTTCATACTAGGTGTCAAACTTACTCTAGAATCGATGTACTAGATGTCTAGTAGCCTACCCAAAAAGTTCAGATTGGACATTTAACCCAACAATAGGACGACCGATCTAGTCTACCTAATGGTTCAGACATTATTTGCACCCTACCAAAAAGGTTCAGACCTGATGGCTAGCTGACAGTAAGGTTCATACCTGATGGCAAGCTAACAGTAAGGTTCAGATCTGATGGCTAGCTAACTTTAGGTTCAGACCTGGTGGCAAGCTAACAGTAAAGTTCAGACCTGATCGCTAGCTAACAGTAAGGTTCAGACCTGATGGCTGGCTAACAGTAGGTTCAGACCTGATGGCAAGCTAACAGTAAAGTTCAGACCTGATGGCTAGGCTACCTGATGGCTAGCTAACAGTAAAGTTCAGACCTGATGGCTAGCTAACAGTAAGGTTCAGACCTGATGGCTAGCTAACAGTAAGGTTCAGACCTGATGGCTTCAGAAAGGTTCAGACCTGATGGCTAGCTAACAGTAAAGTTAACAGTAAGTTCTGATGGCTAGCTAACAGTAACCTGAGAGTAAAGTTCAGACCTGGCTGATGGCTAGCTAACAGTAAGGTTCAGACCTGATGGCTAGCTAACAGTAAAGTTCAGACCTGATGGCTAGCTAACAGTAAGGTTCAGACCTGATGGCTAGCTAACAGTAAAGTTCAGACCTGATGGCTAGCTAACAGTAAGGTTCAGACCTGATGGCTAGCTAACAGTAAAGTTCAGACCTGATGGCTAGCTAACAGTAAAGTTCAGACCTGATGGCTAGCTAACAGTAAGGTTCAGACCTGATGGCTAGCTAACAGTAAGGTTCAGACCTGATGGCTAGCTAACAGTAAAGTTCAGACCTGATGGCTAGCTAACAGTAAGGTTCAGACCTGATGGCTAGCTAACAGTAAAGTTCAGAGGTCAGTCTGATGATGCTAACAGTAAGGTTCAGACCTGATGGCTAGCTAACAGTAAGGTTCAGACCTGATGGCTAGGTGACAGTAAGGTTCAGACCTGATTGGCTAGCTGACAGTATGGTTCAGACCTGATGGCTAGCTAACAGTAAGGTTCAGACCTGATGGTTAGCTAACAGTAAGGTTCAGACCTGATGGCTAGCTAACAGTAAAGTTCAGACCTGATGGCTAGCTAACAGTAAGGTTCTGACCTGGTTGTCCTGATGGCTAGCTAACAGTAAAGTTCAGACCTGATGGCTAGCTAACAGTAAAGTTCAGACCTGATGGCTAGCTAACAGTAAGGTTCAGACCTGATGGCAAGCTAACAGTAAGGTTCAGACCTGATGGCTAGCTAACAGTAAGGTTCAGACCTGATTGCTAGCTGACAGTAGGTTCAGACCTGATGGCGAACTGGGGTTAATGCTGCAATGATCGAGTGAGTGGGTGAGTTTTATGCCACTTAGCAATATTCCAGCAACATCTCGGCGGGGACATCAGAAATGGGCTTCACACATTGTACCCGTTTACGGAATCGAACCCGGGTCTTCGGCATGACGAGCGAGCGCATTAACCACTAGCCTACCCTTCCGCCCCAACGCTGCATTGAACAACACTCGAGTTGTATCGCAGTGTGTCTGTTGGTGTGCGACGAAGAGGGACTACAGGGATTAAGGTATTGAACTAGCAAGGACATGGAGCTGTCAAACCTATAAAGGGAATCGAACCCACGATTGCAGATTCCTTGATGGCCAAGGGACGTAACTCTGCACTGCGAATTCCGGGGTCTTAGAGGATTGACCCACCCATGACCCTAGCTAACAGCTGAAGGTACGTACAGAATGTCTTGCGTTCATTTGCCATTTCAGGTCGTTCTCGAGAACAGTATTGCTTGTTGATGAAGTCACTATAGCGACGGTCACCATGGAGATACTGCTGAGCATTAGTGAAATACATATTTGCTCTTTACCCGCGAGTATTGTTACGAACCTGGATTTCTACGGCGCTGGGATCGACTGCCGTATCCCAGGTTATTCTGGAAGGTCAGATATGTATATAGGAGTCAGGAAAGCGTGCATGTGTTCAACTACGGTTACTGTTGGTTGTTTAATAGGATGGTCGTGCCTGCATATCACACTGCAGTTTTCGTACCTACGTTTCATTAAATGAGTGCATCCCTCATTATACAGTGTAATATATCTCCAATCCGATAAACACCCCGGATCCATTCGCCACCTTGACTCTCTCTAACTAAGCATAGATATTTTTGTCCCATGGCAGTAATTTCATTGAACTGCTATTGTTAGTGAGGTTCATACGGATCGGGCCACACACTATAAGTTGTAGTAGCGAATTATGTTATTGTAGTTAGCGTAATAACATGGATATAATTATAATACACCTTATCGATATGAAATTTTGGAAATTGTCTTCAAGTATTCTTTTGCATTTTCTGACAAATGATCATTCGGTCAACTTTGATTGCAGCAGAATATAAGCATGATGAATGGTACTGTATTTTTGGCTTATTTGATTGTATCGCAAGTCCTTAGAGGATTGGTCTTATCAATATTTATATACACTAGTAAGAGGGGAGTCTTGGTTATATCAGTGCGGGACCTACTTTATTGTGATAATGGATTTGCGTATTCTGTCAATAACTTGATTCGTGTCTGCCTTCCAGTTCTGGGGAGCCTTCGGGGCTACTTTCAGTGAAGCTGAATCCACAGGGAAATTGACCATCGGGTGTGGCCCTGAGACGTAGAGTCGTGTTGACCGCAGGGCTGGACAAAGAAAAAACGGACACGCGATGGGTGTGAGGCTGGAAGAAGTAGCCAGTGATAGGTGTGAGGGATGAAGAAGTAGCCAGTGATGGGTGTGAGGGATGAAGATGTAGTCAGTGATGGGTGTGAGGGATGAAGAAGTAGCCAGTGATGGGTGTGGGGAAGGAAGAAGTAGCCAGTGATGGGTGTGAAGGAGGAAGAAGTAGCCAGTGATGTATGTGAGGGAGGAAGAAGTAGCCAGTGATGGGTGTGAGGGAGGAAGAAGAAGCCAGTGATGGGTGTGAGGGATGAAGAAGTAGCCAGTGATGTATGTGAGGGAGGAAGAAGTAGCCAGTGATGGGTGTGAGGGAGGAAGAAGTAGCCAGTAATGAGTGTCAGGGAGGAAGAATCAGTAGCCAATGATGGGTGTGAGGGAGGAAGAAGAAGTCAGTGATGGGTGTGAGGGAGGAAGAAGTAGCCAGTGATGGGTGTGAGGGAGGAAGAATCAGTAGCCAATGATGGGTGTGAGGGGAGGAAGAAGTGAGTCAGCGATGGGTGTGAAGAGGGAAGAGGTAGCCAGTGATGGGTGTGACGGAGGAAGAAGTAGCCAGTGATGGGTGTGAGGGAGGAAGAAGTAGCCAGTGATGGGTGTGAAGGAGGAAGAAGTAGCCAGTGATGGGTGTGAGGGAGGAAGAAGTAGCCAGTGATGGGTGTGAGGGAGGAAGAAGTGGCCAGTGATGGGTGTGAGGGAGGAAGAGGTAGCCAGTGATGGGTGTGAGGGAGGAAAAAGTAGCCAGTGATGGATGTGAGGGATGAAGAAGTAGCCAGTGATGGGTGTGAGGGATGAAGAATTAGTCAGTGATGGGTGTGAGGAAGGAAAAGGTAGCCAGTGATGGGTGTCAGGGATGAAGAATTAGTAGCCAGTGATGGGTGTGAGGGAGGAAGAAGTAGTCAGCGATGGGT